ATACGGCTTACAAGATCATGGTTTCCCAATGGCGAGCCGATCAAATGCGTCAGATGTGTCAGATGTGTCAGATGGGACGGATGGGGCGGATGGGGTGGATGAGTCATTGCGATGACGTGGCGAGGGTGCACTTTTCTTTGGGCCGCGAACACCTTGGCGAATGCAATGTCGGTGTAATTTTTGCCGAAGGCCCACTTATGCAGCTTGAGAGATGGTGTACGTAGCTACAGAGATCGCCGTTTCGAGACAGAAGTCCGTCACGGACTCCCAGGTGGTGTCGTTGTACGTTGCTTGTCACTGTGACGGCCGTCACAACTGTGCGTGACGGGTGAATGATCCGCTACAGGGCCCACCGTACCACGAACACCATCTCCCGACGCTGGGACACATTAGTGCGGGTGAGGAGGTTTGGGTGCTGACACAGTTGACACAGTGTCGGTGGAGTCCACCGCGGTGTCCGCCCTCTCAGTCTCCCCCTCCCCCCCCCCCCCTCAGCCCTGCATTACTGGCAGCGGCCGTGGTCCGCGTTCTTGCCGTCCGGTCCGGCCTTAATCCGTGGTTCGACCGTGGTCCGTGGTCCGGTCGTGGTCCGCCGTCCCGCTGTTCGGTCCGACCATGGTCCGTGGTCCTGCCGTCTGGTCCGGCCGTGGTCCGCCGTCTTGCCGTCCGATCCGGCCGTGGCGAGCGGGCCCAGCCTCTCCCTCGAGCGGCGGCCGGCGGGCCGGCCAGCCCTGACCCCGGGCCGGCTGGGCGGCGCCCCAGACGGCCGGCATCGCCAGTCTCTGCCGGCCCGTCCCCACACTCACCTCGCCGTGCCTGGCCTGCCGAGTCCGGCCCGTCCGCCGTCACAGCTGTGAGGCCGCCTGAGATCTGCCGCTGGTGTCGGTGTCGACGTCAGAGGTCTGCCGCTGGTGTCGGTGACGGCGTCAGAGGTCTGCCGCTGGTGTCGGTGACGACGTCAGAGGTCTGCCGCTGGTGTCGGTGTCGACGTCAGAGATCTGCCGCTGGTGTCGGTGTCGACGTTTGAAGTCTGCCGCTGGTGTCGGTGTCGACGTCAGGGGTCCGCCGCTGGTGTCGGTGTCGACGTCAGAAGTCTGCCGTCGGAGTCGGTGTCGACGTCAGAAATCTGCCGTCGGAGTCGGTGTTGACGGCATCTGGCGCCGGGTTAGTGGGTGCCGGCGCGGAACTCCAGTAAAGCCTTCAACTCCGGCGGCGTTCGGGGTGGCAGCAGACGCCAACATGAGGACTCATCTCGGTCGCACCATGGTAAACTCCCGGTTTGCTTTACACTGCCCGCTGTGGCAACATCCAAGGCCCGTTGTTACCCGCTCATACCACGGTAATCTCCCATATCGTACGTGAATTGTCAAGTGTCATCTGTTAACTGCGTGTCCAGGACCGCGTGCGGTGGGCACCCGTTAATAACGCAACGCGTCGGTGGTTTCCTTTTATTATCTTGTGTTTGCTTTTCTGGTTTGAAACTATCGAATCGTCAAGCAATGAGAAACGGCGAAAAACTGTTCTTCCCCTACCCTGCTGCGACGTTCTCCGCCGGATAATTATATCGTCTGGGCTGTTAAAACACCGACCGGGAATGATGGTCCATCTCGAAAGCAGATATCTAGCAGTGTGGTGCATTTGCGTGCCGTTTCCAGCAAACTGCCGTATGATTTTTGATACGGTTGCATTTTAACAAATCGGGGAATATCCCTGGGCTGGTTGTCCATTTTTGTCATGCCTGGCGAGTAAGCCTTTGAGCTAAGATGCACAGCCGTGAAAGGTCGCGCCCAGCTAGTGTCAGCGCCAGTGAGTGGGCAGTGCTTCGCGCTCCCGAACCAAAGCACGCGGTGCATGCCGTCTGCTCGGCACCAGCGCTTAGTTTAACAGCATCCACTTGGTGCTAAAGGTATCCACTTGGTGTTACGGCATCCACTCGGCGCCACAGCATACAGCTTGGTGCTAGTGAGGACCTGGCTGTTTGTTAGTTACAGTTCCAAAAAGCGACTTTTCATGGGCGGTCAGTCCAATGTGGACGCTTGCGGGGTGCTCTGCCGTTATGATGCTGGGCTCTGTGTGGACCTGTGTCTTGCTGTCCTTTGCGTGCAAGCTCTGGCTGAGCCGGCTCGGAGATGAAGAGTGAGACTGATAAGGGAAGTGAACGGGCATTACATCCTCCAAATGAACGGCGACGGGCTTAATGGTACAGCCGCATGATCTGCACTATAGCCGTGGATCACCTTGGTGCAAAAAGGCCCTTTGTAGAATTATTCAATCTCGGTCTGTATCAGACATGGAGAGCCGTTCTGAGGCCTAATAATCGATTCATATCAGTTAATTTATGACCAACGCCACTTAGCTGTGGTCCTTGTAATGGTGCAATAGACAAGCTACTTGGCACCTAAATCAACTACTTATTTCTGTTCACTAGTGTACGTGAATAGCCAATTTGCATAACATGCAACTTCCTCATCATGCATTGCAGTTGGGAAGGTCCAAGCGAATACAGGTGAATTGCAAGAGGATTTTAAGCCAAGGATTATAACCAAACCAGCCCAGGGATAAATCGACTTAAGCCGGCCGGTAGGCTACATCCTTCTTATCTCGATATAATTAAGATTCGCTTTGCTGATAAACGGTGTTGCATGCCGCACATACTTGAGGCTATGTAATGTGCCCGGGACAAAACCGGGCTTCTCGCTTTTTTCGGAAAGCGTGAGGCGTTCCGAGGCGACCCGAACAGGCTGAGTGCCCTGAGTCTATTTGAACGCTGTCATGAGCTAGCCGCACCTACTGAAACTGTTGCCAGTTCGCCTTCCCTTCGCCGAGGTGTATGTCCACCGGTGTGAAAAGGGGCTGACGTGATTTGGATCCCAACCATAGGGGCACACAGGTCCCAGAAACTAAAGAGGCGTTTCGCTTCTTCCTCTGTCCTGCAAAATTACGGATAAAGTCGTGTTGGGTAGCCTTCCTGCACGCTGTCAACCTGTACTGTCTCAAAGCCGGTTGGTCTCCATATTAAACATTCCCTGTTCTCCAACCTCAGCTCTTTCCTAAAGCACAGATGGGACTTGATTAAGGGGGTTAGAAAGACATCCTCGATGTACACCGTTTGCTCTTAGGCTTTCTTTATCATGCATTACACTAATTCTTCACAAACTAACAAACTTCATACAATGTGACTAGGATGGCGCTCATCTGGATTTCGAGGTCATGGATGTCACGGAAGCTAAGCGGAAGATGGCACCATGCCATTAAGCCCGGGGGGGGGGCGTGCACGGCTGTCGCCAAGGCCCGCTCTGGGCCCCCTTGTCTGTCCTCCGGCCGTGCCTCACTGTCGCCAAGGTCTGCTCCGGGGTCTGCTTGCTTGTCCTGCGCCGTGGCTCACTGTGGCCAAGGTCCACTCCGGGGTCCGTTTGCCTGCCCTCAGCTGTGCCTCACTGTCACCAGGGTCCACTCCGAGGTCCGTTTGCCTGGCCTGAGCCGTGCCTCACTGTCGCCAAGTTCCACTCCAGGGTCCGTTTGCCTGTCCTCCGGCCGTGTCTCACTGTCGCCAGGGTCCGCTGCGGGGTCTGCCTGCTTGTCCTGCGCCGTGTCTCCCTCGTTGTCGCTGCCTGGTCGTCGCCATTTCTGAAGGCGCGTCACCGGCAGCTCGGAAGCCACTGAGCGATGGCACGGGCTGCTCCTCATCCAGAGGCCTGGGTTCAGTTCCGACCCTAGGAAACTTTCATTGACACCGGATTCCACAAAGACCACCATCTTGGTGATCGATAATAGGCGCAGCAATCGCATGCGTCAATAGACAGTTTGATCTACCCAATACGAAGTCGACTTCAGATCGGCTCGCAGTTCTGGAGGTCCGTTCACATGGTGTTCCATTTCAGCCTTTGGAGTTGGTGCGGACAGTCCGACCCGCTGGCGCCGGTTGGTGATGTCTGTTGATCGTTCTGTGAGCCAGAGCGGAACACTCAGTCGGCTTGGCCTTCGCGCATTGAAGGACAGGGCACTTATTCTGCTGTGCGACACAGTTTTCGCACCGAGGCCAACTAACCCAACAGTAATCAGTAGGTAACGATGAAAAAGTTGAGATGCGAGAATACCCTACCGAACACCATCGGTTTCCGCTTATTCGGCTCAAGCGTGAGCTTGAAGCCGCCGAAACAGTATATTACTCACTTAGAAAATATATGCATGAGTTTCACTTGCAATTAGTCTCGTAGGACGTCGGGGCTAATGATGTTATGTTGTTCATAGATTAACTCATATAAGTTCTGTGTTCATGTCACAATCTCCATGTAAAGAAATTGGTTTTGAAATATAAATCAACACCGGAACGGTCATGGAGGTGACGTGTCTGGTCGTTGCATATATATATATATATATATATATATATATATATATATATATATATATATATATATGCTTCAGTGTCATTGCAACATAACTGAACTTAGGTCGATGTCCATTCCACACTGTTCCCCTCGGCTGATGGGAAGGATCAGTACGCTGCAAGGATGCGCGCTATAAAGTATGTGCAGATCCCGTACCCTGTCCTCAGCTTTCCTAAACATCTGTGCAGAAGTGGTAAAACTTATTTTTTCGCCGACCGAATTCCTGCTGACAAAGTTGTCGCCAGCAGCGTGACGTGATACCAAGGTTTTATGCCAGTATCGGGATCAAGATACTCATTTTTTCGCCGACTTTATCCACCATGCCGGGACATTTTGACACCCTTGAGTTTGTGCACTGAAGCCGCGTGTGGTCCATCCTCGACTTTCCTCAACACCCGTGTTCCAACGCCATGTTTGTTCTGTCCTCGACTATCCTGAACACCTGAAGCCGTATGTGTTCTATCCTCTGCAGTCTTAAACATCTGTGTGCTACAGCCGTGTGTGTTCTCTACTCGGCTATCCTGAACACGTGTGTTCCCACTCCGTGTGTGTTCTGTCCCCAGTGCTCTGCAGACCACCTGTTTGCTCACACTGCCTGTGTTCTGCCCTCAGCTGTTCTGGACGGCCCTGAGCATCGCGCTAGGGTACCCGGTCCAGGGGAGAACAGGTCGTCCGCGGATTAGCCGTGCATCAAACGCTTCTACCAGCTCTACTGCAGGAACGCCGGCAGCCAATACCCCACGTGAGGCTCGGTGTATCATGTGCGACGTATCAGGGGGAACGAGGGTCAGCGCTCGCCGTTAGCTGTGCTGCGTGAAAAAGCTCGCAACAGCGGTTCGGTCTCCGTCATCTGCATTAGGCGAGAATTCCTCAGTTTTTACTCTTTTGCCGCATGTCATGTGAAAAATCTTCAACCTCTGCCCCTACAGTCGTCTGTGTCGTTGAAAGCTCACCTCCCTTAGACACCCCTGCGCCCTGACATACACATAGCAGACACTTTTGGGCATAATTCAGGTTCACCGTGAAAGCCACCAACGCTACTTTCATGTATCTCAGCCTTAGCTCTCGCGCCAGTTTTAGCGCGAAAGACCTCCGTGCCAAGTTGCGAAAGACCTTCGTGCCAACTTGCGAAAGAACTCCGCGCCAGCTTGCTTGCGTTTCGCAGTCGAGCCGATACTTGCCGGTATGGCCCGATAGACAGCCACTAGGCTTTGAGGTCTGTCTGTGAAATGAGACTCAGTATTCTGTGTATAGTAGTACCGTCTAGGCCTCTTGTAGAAGTGTCTGATGAATTCATACTCAGAGCACCACGGTTCTGACGCTATGTCAAACACAGTGTACGAGCAGTGGGAAAATGTAGGACTCATTATCGCATATATTCTGAACTGATGGACGTAGAGTCGGAACCTCGATAAAATGTATTAGAATTCGTGACTGCGACTGGGGTTTACGCCGTATAGAAAGGGTGGGCGCGGTCTCGGGATGTGGCCCAACGCATAGGGCGTAATTCTCAGATTCCTGCGCCCGTGGGAAACCGTTAGTTGGTTATTGGGTTGTAAAAGCGAAGTAAACCGAAATACTTATTTGCGCTGTGAGAAATGCTCGACTTTGCAGACACCCCTTTTCTTCCACGCGCTACTTGAAAACTTCCTTACGTCAGTCATGTCTGCCCCTGCATGTGTCTGAGAGATCTACATCGTTAACCACTCTCGCATCGCCCCTTTTGTATTCTATCTGCGGAACAGGAACCGCATCGATGTGCTCACCAGCAGACTGTGCCTTCGGTTGCAGGGACCGTATCGCGTCGTTTATCAACGAGAACAAGGCGTTGACAAGGCGAATGTTTGGCGAGTTCCAGCTGCCGGCAGACTTCGCCCAAGAGGTAGACCGCTTCCCCGACCTCCAGAGGTTTCAGACGATCGACTTTCCCGAGTCACTACACCCCGAGTCGATGCTGGAGAGCGAGACAGAGGGAACGGGCGGCGAGGCGGCGACCGCGGACGAACGGGGCGAGACGGGCGCGGACGGGGAGGGAGAGATGGATCTCGAGGCGGCGACGGAGACGTCCACCAGCGCAGCGAGCAGCGTGGGGGACGGGGTGGCGGAGCGGGCTGGCAATGCAACTTTGAAAGGGACGGGAGAGGCCCAGGGGACCCCAAACAGCGAGGATAACGCGGTAGGCGTTGACACCACAGACACGACCGGGGAGTCCCCGCAGGATACAGACCCCATGGTGAGTACCGCAAAGGGCGGTGCGGACACCCCTGAGAGCACTCCGGGTGCCTGAGAGTCCCGGAGACGAATTCCGTAACGGCACAAAGCACGCAAAGGGTAGCGGTGACACTCCGGCCAGCAACGCGAGCTCGGCGTCGGGCTCGAGCGGGGAGGGAGTTCCTGGCAGGGAGGACTCCACGCCACCGACCACAGAGAAGCCACCCAACAAGACGCGGGCGGCTGTCGCGTCAGTGAAGGCCTCGCCGGTTCGGGCCAGGCCTCTGGCCTTTGTCTTCACCCGCACGGACACGCCGGCCGGCACCGGCCGCGGCCCTGGCCGGGCTCACACCAGGCGGCGACCCCTACGCTCCAGTCAGCCGCTGCTGCCGCGGCCGCCCGGCCGTCTGCCCACCAATCAGGAGCCACCGTCGCCCAACGCTCACCCGGCTCAACCAACCAGCGACGAGCGCGCCGCCGACGCACCTATGAGCGCGGCGGGGAGGGTGAGGGGCTGCTCGCGCGCGGCGCTACCTGGCGGCGGCCCGGAGACACACGAGTTGCCCGTGCCGGCCGCCCCCCTCGCCCTCCAGCAGCCGCCCAAGAAGGTGAGGAGTGGGAGGGGGTCGGCACGGGTCGGGCCAGCCTGGTAACGCCTGCGCTGCTTTGTGAAAGCCACGCCCATCTCGTGTTGCGACTAACAGCGAAAAGTTTCGTTTGGTAACCGGCTTGAAGGTGGTAAAACTAATCGTTGTTGATGAAAACCTTTGGACGCCCTTGGACCAAAATGTCATATGGCAATAAACGTTTGTAGTGCGCAACTATATGTATAATGATCAAAGCACTTTCAGTTCAGTTGGTTTCGTGATAGTGCTTGAGGACGATGCAAAAAAGATTCCGGGCGGGCAAAGTGAAAACGAGAGGTAGTGTGAATGATTAAAAAGTGATAGAAAAAAGATAGCGTGAGAACATAATGCAAACGAATCGGGAGCAATGCTTTCACCGTAACGAGGGCTGTACGCTCATAAATGAATACGCCATTAATGCTATTTGTGTGTCTTTAAGGCAAAACCGAGCTCAAAATTTGCTTTTGAGCAATGTATGCCGCCGTTAAACGCAGCGATCAAACATTTATGGCTTTCTCTGCTCAAGGCTGCCACAGTTTTTTCGATATAAAAACAAACCTTGTGGGACGATCGGGGTTTTGCTACATATTCGTCTAACGTACACACGTGGTACGCACTAAATCCCACCTGTTGCGATGGCAACTTATGATGTTCCCAGGTTTTATTGGTTTTCGGTGTTTCACGGCACCACGCTTACATATTACAAACATGCATACACACGTTACATGCTCACTACATGTTTTAGAAATCTTCTGCATCCAAATTGTGTACTAACGCTTTGAGGTGTGCTTTTTGTCGCAACTTGAACAAGCGCTGCCTCCGACTAATAAAATTGTTATTATTTGCATATTCTTGCGGCAGTACATGAGCTTTGTTCAATGTACCATACTATTAGATCGATGGCTTCAGCTGTCTTGTGACAACCGGTGCTGTTGCCCCTAGCTTGAAGGAAGGCCCTGCACCATGCCGCTGGTGGAACTACGAAGATGACGTCACGCAGTAGCGTCAGTACTGACGAGGAGCTGCGCAACCAGTCAACATCAACCGAGCATAAAGCCAACGGACTCACGAGCATAAAGCAACGCGCCTTCCGCTTTATGAAGCAAATAAAGCGCCCAAGCCATGTCGCCAGCAGGCGCTCGGCCGCGTGAAGAGTACAGTGCAGTTACTGCAATGCAGTACAATGCAGTACAATGTCCAGTTACTGCAGTTGGCGGTCTTCCAGTGGCAACGGCGCGGTGATACAGACGGCCGGCGACCAAATCCTCTTACCCAACCGCTACGAAGGCTGGTGACTGGTATTGCTGTGGGAGGGGCGGCAGTGCACCAGCGGCGGTACCAGTGGTGGCGACAGAGAGCTGTCGCTGGCTGCGGGGCTGCCACTCGCGCCAGACGTCGCGCCACCCCAGCCTTAGCTAGCAGTGCCCGCCGATAGGTGGCAGGGCGGTCGCGCTGCGGCCTGGACGGCGTACCTCTGGCTTCTGTGGACTGACGCGCTGGACAAATGTGCGCATGTGTGTGTCCCCCGCTGTTGCATGGGCTCCGTTGTTGGTCTGGGAGATGTTTTCTGTGCTTTTTATTGAATTAAATCGTGTCACGATGAACTGCTCTTGAAAGTAAATGCATATAAATGCCTCGATCGTGATGTTTAGTTTTCTGTTAATTGCATTCACTGTTTTGGTTACGGCAACATACTTTTTTGTGCAATCGGCAGCCATAAGCACAAAGTAAAGGTAATACCCTAATGGATATTTGATTTGTTGTCGGCCTTCTCTTCTAATCAGCTTGCCCGATGCCGGCGGTACAAACTGCAGCGTGACGTCTCTTCTAATCAGCTTGCCCGATGCCGGCGGTAAAACTGCAGCGTGCAGCGTGATGTCACGTGATGTCACAAACTGCAGCGTGACGTCATGTCAAGGTCAGACGGCTGCTGACCCGGCGCCCTCGTTTACAGCCGTTACCCCGCGTCAAGAGGACCACCAACAGTACGATGGAGCCGCCGCCGCCACCGGCGCAACGCCGGCGGAAGACCCGCCAGGCTGTGGCGGCGCCTCCAGTCATCGACAAGGGCAGCAAACACCTGTGAGTCCGCCCGGTGGCGTCCTATTGATCGGGTCCGGACGCCTCTCCCTCGTCCTTTCTCTCTCTTCTCCCA